AAAATCATAAGAGCAACTTCCAGGTATTGTCAAAAGTTGAGAGAAGGAAAAACTGAAGCTCATGTACATGTTTGCAGGTTTATTTTTTTGTTGGTGGTGGTTTTGGGGATTTGTTGAGTTTATGCTAATTTTAATGTGAAACGGAAGTTTTGTCCTGTTGTGGTTCCGTCCCTGAGTGCACCACAAGCTAGTACCTTGCAATATCTTATTCTTCAAGTTGTCTTGATTTTTTGGGGTGTGTTGGAGAGTTGGAAGGGTTTGGAATTGGTTTTCATTGTTTAATGGTTTTTAAGGCAAAAGATGGGTTGATTTATAGATTGTTTTCTTTGTCTTTTACTGTGAAATATCCCAACAGCCCTATCATTGAAGGTGAGTAGGCATCTATTGCTTTAATTTACTCTATAAACTTAAATTATACAATTTAGTCTAAACAAGATTATTGCTAAATGAACTTTTACTTCTGTAATATATATATAGGACTAGCTGTTTCTCACTCCTCAAAGGAAATACCTTTCTAAGATGAGTCTTCCAGGATTTCAGGGATAATATTTTTGGGTTTAGGCATCAAATTGCCCACATGCACTAGTGTAAATTGATAAAAATTCTGAATTAACACTGTTACAAGGCATGTATGCACTTTATCATAACTTAACTGATGTCTTCAAAGGTGCTGGTCTTAGAACTTTGCTAGTTACTTCCATGAGCATAAGGATCATATCTCCATCTGTCTTCCTGGATTAACATCTGTAAAGTGTGTTGAAATTAAGTTTCTCCTAGCTAGTAGTTTGAGATTGACCAAGCTCACTAGCTTTTACTGGTTTTGGGGGAGAAAACCAGCACTGTCTGTATTGCTGATGGTGAGTCAAAACAGTAACAGGCTAGCAGGGGGTTTGAGGCTGATGGAATTGAGAATTGTCTGACTGCAGGGTTGCTTTCAGAACGTATTAGCATGCAGTCTCGAGCACTGTGATCACATATCAATCATATTGGAATGCCACATTAAAATCCAAAGGAATATAAATGTAGGTATCAGATCATGTTTTTTTTTAATGTGATGAGTTGGATGACTTGCAAGAAGGAAGATATGTGTATTCCCTTGCTTGCTGAGTTGCTGATATACCTACTAGATATAGAGAGAAATCTTGAAAACTAGTCGCATTTTATTTTGAGACTTTGTGTAAGAGAAGTATTTCAAGTGTCTTGATGCTCTTTTTTTTTTCTTCTGATATCCATGCAGATATTTTTACTAAAAAACCAGAGCTGTTTGTGATGATGCTCCCTTTTGTGATATCTCATATTCCTAGTCATGTCATTGCCTTGTCAGTAATCAGAGAGAAATTTCAAACTTACAGTCAAAGGCAGACTTTATCAAAACAAAATTTGGATTATGCCACCAACTATCAGTCTCCAGTACTGCTTTAATGAGCATGGTTTTAATGTGTATTGAGACTAGAAACCAAGTTGGTCTTGCTCTAGCCCATAGTACTCTGCATCTGGAATGATTGCAGTTTGTAAAGTATCACTGCTAGTTTAGGTGTTGTTATGCTGTTCTTTGTTATCTAAAAGTTCTTCTGCAGTCTTTATAGGGATTAAAAAAATGGTAAGGGTGATACTTAATCATTCAGTAGATTGCCTGTGGATTTAGGAAAGATTTCAGCAAGTGTTTTCATCATAAAGTACCAAAGTAATTTAATTTCCTTTCTATTTTATTCAGTAAATGAAACTTTGTATGTCAGAATTGGTCGGGAATTGATTTTATATTCTTAAAATTTGAGTTGATTTAAAAAAAAATACTATAAGATAATTTTGTTGGTTCTTTTCCACACACAAGTGAAATGGAATCAACTTCTGTATTTTGTACCTGTCAGGCTTTTGTGTTCTGACTTTCTTAGCATCTGGCAAGACCAGAATTGAGAATTTCTTGTAAAATAATTAAAATCAGCAACAACAATAAAACAACTCCAGCAGCTTTTAGAGCTTAAAGAACATGAAAGCTTTTTTTGTTTTGCTAGAGCTGACAGTTGTGCCAACCACGCCACCTAGAGTGGAGCCACAAGTCGCGAGTTACGCTTCCAGTAACAGTGCTAGTACGTCTACCTCAGAGCAGGCCTCTGATGCAGCTCACACCGTCTCCAACAGCCAGCCCTCTGCATCACCAGAGACAAGTGCTACTTTTCCCTCTGGCAGCACTGCTGGTACTTCATCTGGAGGTACTGAATAAGAGAGCTTTCTAAACTGGTGTTTTGCCTCCTAATACAAAAGAGGTAGAGGGAGTTAATTGCTGTTCTCTAGATTAAGTCCTGTGAACTTCTAGTACTGAGTATAACAGTAATAAGCTGAGAAGACAGGAATCTGAAAAAGATCATTGATTTCTCCCCAAAGATGAAGGAAGTTATGCTGGATCCTTCTGCTTTTTCCTATTGGAAGGATTTGGTTATACCTAATGAACCCTGTCCTTGCTTTTTGAGGAGGTAGAATGTAGTTCACAGGCAAATAAATCTTCCGTTGCAGTGTGTTACAGGGGTGGTTTTTTTAATGTGTATTGTAAGGAAGTGAAGGATGCATATAGATTCCTTGAACTTCCCCCTGTAGAGGCACATTGATACAGATCTGTATTGATACTGGTATAATAGAGCTGTATATACAGGTAGCACTCGTAACATCTCTGAAACACGGGTGCTCTGCCCTCATCTGCAAGACAGGTGAGGTACGAAAAACCTGAGCTGACCACAGTTGCAGAAAGAATTTGAGGTCTCTGCACACTAACCACAGGAACAATCTTTCCTCCTTTGCCTAATGATAACGTGTCTTAAATTAGTGGAATAAGGCAAGTGTCAGTTCATGTCCTCTGGGGGTTCCCATGAGTACATCCACCTGAACCATTCCGTTTTGGTTCATTTGGCAGGCATAGCTAAATCTTTTTTGTATCCAGTTTGTTTGGTTTTAGTCTAGATCAGTTTTTCAGTGGGTTAATTATTTTTTTTTTCTTCTTTACGGTGATCAGCTTTACTAATTTCTTCCACTTCAATATTAACTTTCTCTATCTTCAAGATGATATAAGAACATCTGCATCTAATACAACACTGGAAACTGGCTCTCCGGCCATGCCAAGGCTACCATCATGCTGCCCTCAGCATTCTCCTTGTGGAGGACCTTCACAGACTCATCATGCATTGGGGCACCCGCATACAAGCTGCTTTCAGCAGCATGGCCACCACTTTCAACATCACCACCACCACCACCACAGCCCTCACCCAGCTGTTCCACTGTCTCCTCCGTTCAGTGACTCCAGCTGCCCTGTCGAAAGTTCTCCAGTGTCTGCACCTTGTGGAACAAGCAGCAGTTCTGGCAACAGTTATCATGAGCAGGCATGTGTAATTCTTGTGACTCTCCCTTTGCGATTTCTAGTTGTTATAGATATGAGAGAATAGAATAGAATAGAATGCTGAATTGTGGACTGTTCTCTTGTTCTGTAGCAGGCATTATAGAGAGGAACTAACATTTGAGCTAGAATATATAGACACAAAAATTGACATTTTACAGAAAGTCATAATGCAATGAGTAATCATTGTCAGCTGACATCCTCTTGATGACTGTAAGATGATAGTGGCTGTTTAAGTGAACCAAACATAAATACCTTGAAACATACTCTGCCAGTCGTAGCAGTTTTGCAATGAAAATACTTGAACTGCTTTAAGGGAAGAAAAAAATCAATTCTATGCCTTTTATAAACAGAACATTAGATGAGTTGCTCTTCTAAAAGCATTTTTTTTAAGACTTTCCAACTAAAAGCTCTAAAACAATACAGTTATAAGTAAGACCAATACTGTGTGAACTTAGTTTACAACATGCAGAATTATCCATCTGGTTTCTGTTTTAAGTGTAATACATTAAGCACAAATGAAAACGCTAAAGATTGAGGTTTGCCTCCAAATGTTTCAATGCATATAGCTCCCGTATACTCACTGATCTATATCATAGGGGTTTTGGGTTCTTTACACAATCAGGAGTAATTAATTTAGTCTCTCTCTCCAGATTCAAGAATTTAGGAATAAGAAATATTAGCTATATCTAAAGGAAGTTCCAGAGTCAAGCCTTAAAACTTAAAAATCTGGATCCTAGTTGCTTGTGATAGTATTTATTTTTTATTGCGTTATGTTTGAGGGTGACTTTGTCTGAAGAATTGCTTGAAAAAAGATGATTTGTTTATGCAGCAGGCATTGCCGGTAGACTTAAGCAGCAGTGGTATGAGAAGTCATGGAAGTGGTGCTTTTCATGGAACATCTGCTTTTGACCCCTGCTGTCCTGGTTCTTCATCTCGAACTGCAATTTTTGGGCATCAGGCTGGTGCTGGCCCAAGCCAATCAATAACAATAGACGGATATGGATCAAGTATGGTTGCGCAGCCACAGCCCCAACCTTCTCCTCAGGCATCGCTCCCTTCCTGTCGGCACTATATACATTCTCCTTGTAAGTACTGATAAGTCCTAGGTACCTGGAGGGGAAAAACCAAACAAACAAGACGACAGTTTCCCTGACAACATACAAAAATCTCTTACCATCTGCTTGCTTTGATCTTAGAACTAGCCTGGGAAAACACATGCTAATAAATGTTTTTATATAGTTCCGCTTCTGTAGAGGATTTGAACAGAATCAAGGTGAAGTTAAAATCTTTTGAGTGACCTTAATAACATTCAGACTTCAAAAACTGTGTTTACTGTGAAAATATTTGTCAACTCCTTTGTATTTTAGCAGTGTGGTTTTTATTTCTTTTTCCTTGGTCCATCCCCTGTCCCATCCCTGCAGTAAGCTCTGCTTGAGCAAGCAGAGTCAACTCATTTGTTTGATTGTGATGTATTTTTTTTGGATTTTATTGTCTCTACAGACTAGTGGACTTGGAGAGGGAGTTGAATTTTTAAAAAATTAAACAACAAACTTTTCAGAGTGCATCATGTAGGTTTGGTGGCTGCTTTTGGTTTTTTTGGTTTTATTTTTGCCAGCAATGGCAAGCAGAATACTTCAGGCTGCAGAAAGTGTGGGTTTCTTGTAGGGTATATTGCTGGTATCACTTTATTTTAAAATTGCATAAACACATATTCCCATGTTGCCACTGTTTACATTGGTGTAATAATATTGAAGCACCTGTGTGAAGATACTTTTAAAAATAAATTTTTAAGTCAAAACCTGCTACTGACCAAATTAAAAGCACCTGATGTTTTCATTGCAGATGCTTCTTTGGCCAGACCTCTTCACCATCAAGCTTCTCCATGTCCTCACTCTCATGGTAATCCTCCTCCACAGCCACAACCTCCGCCTCAAGTAGATTATGTCATCCCTCATCCAGTGCATCCCTTCCATCCTTCAATCTCTTCTCATGCATCTTCTCATCCTGTTCCACCTCCACCACCAACTCATCCTTTAGCCAATGCAACTGCTCCAATACCACAGCATCTTCCTGCAACGCACCAGCCTATATCCCATCACATCCCCACAACGGCATCTCCATCGCAGAGGCTACATCCTCATGAAGTGATCCAGAGGATGGAGGTCCAGAGAAGAAGAATGATGCAACACCCAACGTATGTCACAAATGTACTCAGAACAATATCTAAACATATAATTTGTTTCCCCCAGGTTTGTAAAATGTTGCATGTGAATCTCAAATTGTTAACTGCATGGTTAGGAACTGTTAGTACTAAACCATGGTAAGAAGTGTCTTTACATACCATCACAGTTGCATGAGCATTAAGACTGAACCTGTTCCATTACATCTCTCAACAGAGTCTCCAGGTAAGGCACAGAAGAGAAGGGAAGCTTATCTTTCTCTTGCCCATTACTCATCCTCCAGATAACAGGCAGGAATTCATTTTCAAGCTGCACAGTCTAGAAAGTACATCATCAGCTCCTTTCAAATGTATTCCTTGACAGTGTGTTTTGCCTTGTTGATGCTGTTAAGTTTCTTTATATCTAACTAATGCTTTAAAATAAAATGAGCCATTTATCATAAGAGACTGCTTAGCAGTCTTAATTCAGATTTGACCTTAAATACTTACCTAGCTTTACTATGCCTTTATGTCCTTAGAAGAGAAGGAAGAGACTGAGTAATATCAGCATGAGAATGTGACCAATGTTGAGATGTACCTTTGGTGATCTTGTTTAAGAGGTGCTACTGTTGTTGCTAGATTAGGTTCTTGACACCAGTATCAACAGAAATCAGCTCAGTACTAGCTTGGTATTCAATCACAAAGTAATTGAAGTTATTTTAATTCTGGATATAATGATTTTAAATATCCAAGAGAATTTCAAGAATAAGCTCTCTAGTTGTTGCTCCTGACTTTGTATACAAATTCTGCTGGTAAGTAGCTTAAGTTAAGCTTAAACAAAATTTTCCTTTAACTGCAACTTTTGAGGCCGTTTCCAAATAATTCATAAAAATATCTATAGGCAGTAACTGCTTACAAAGTGGCACATGGCAGACTTCCCTCCTGCCCCTGTGTCCCCCAGGAAAGCCAAATACAACCCTGCTTTCTCAGTCATTAAAATGTTGATTTTTTTTTGATAAATTGTCTGAACCTACACCTGTTCTTCTTTTATCTTTGCAATGCAAATAGTATAACCTCTAAACACCACAACCTAAACGTATAGGCATACCACTTGTGTAATGCCCATGATTATGCAGTCATACCCAAAAATTAATTTTGGAACATTCAAGCCAATGAATGTTAGATAGCAAGCTAGCATTTAAAAAAAAAAAAAATAGTGGTAGCTAGTTTATCAGTTATGGAAACTTTCTGGTAGTTTGGGCATTGGAAATGTGAATTATGGCATTTCTTAGCCTAGTAAATTTTCTTTGTATGTATAGAAACTGTAGTCGGATGTTGATAATAGTTTCTTACTTGACCTTCTTTCCAAAGTCACCAATCTCAGGTCGGACAGTGTCAGTTTGCTTAGTGAGGTTTCTCCTCTGTAGTTTTGTTTTTTAATCTTATGAAATTGTTCCATCCTTGGTCTTTTTCCCCTGTCATCCTCATATAAATTACATGCAAAACCAATATTGTAGGTGTCTTGACCAGACCTCATAAAAATCAGATTATACTCTGACAACCCAAAACTTGTGCATATTCGCTCTTTAATACACAGACTGAGACTGCCAGCAGACTTGAGTTCCTTTGGTTCTGTGTCCTCAAAGTGTTCTTAAGATGTTACTTCATCCTTCATTTCTAGAAATAGCATATGGGATAGTCTAGCTGGTATACCTTCTGTCTAGCAATATGGGACTTTATCAGGGTTGGAAGAAGAGAATGGTTGGAGTCGTCTTCTCACTGTCATGTCCCAGGTGTGGGTACAACAGCTATAACTTCCTTAGGGTCTTGGAACTGGCCACGAAATGTGCAAAAGGCAGTGTATGAGGGTGCACTGCATTTTTATAACATACGGAAGTTCTGTTTATTTTCAATCTGATCACGCACTTTTTACTAAGATTGTGGAATAGACAGCCTAGGAGTTTTACATTCATAGAAATAATTTCAAATATGTAAGACTCATTTTAGGAAAAATGGGCCTCCATGACATTTAGTTTTCATGGAACTATGGAGGTTGTGTTGCTATGGGTTTGGTTTTTTTTAATTGAAGTATGGTTTTCCAGATGTTTTCCCATCATTATTTGATAAAGTGAAGGGAGCTGAGACTTGTAGTAGGTTCGGCTGATAGGTCTGTTCCCATGTTGGTCTGTACCATTGTAGAAAACTAGTACTTCTAAGGTAATTTATGCAAGCTTGACAGATTTTTCTGGAGAAATGTCAATTTACAGTGATTAGAATAGTGTTCTATTAAGTAACTTTTTACTTCTCTAGACGTGTAAATTTACAAAATGTCTAGTCTACTTTGTCAGGTAGTATAAGGTGGTACTGAATCTGAATACAGTGTAGTGCTTTGGGAAAATGCAGATTTCTAGGTTGCATTAAAAAAAAAAAAACAAACAAAAAAAAAAAAAACCAAAAAAAAAAACCCAAAAACAACCAAAACTTTCTGCATTGAAAGCCCTGGGAAGAAAGATACTGATCCATCTCTTTGTGTAACTGGAAAGTGGTAAAGTAACAGAAGTCAGACAGCAGGTTTTTTTGGAGGTTTTTCCAAAGCTGTAGTTGTTCTATACCAGCTGGCATAGAAAAAATTTGCGCTCATTACTTGAGGTATGATGCGAACACGTTTCAAGAAAAATGTCCTCTGATTAGCATATTAAGTTTCCTCTAATTACTATTGCTGTTATAGTTTTACTAGAAATAAACTGCAGTATACCTGTGAATTACTCTGAACCTCAACATGACTGTCGTGTTCTTTACTTTCCTACATGCAGTTGGAGGTTAGGATTAAAGGCTTTATCAGTCCTTCTGTAGTCGTGTCTGCCAAGTAAAGGGCAGATCACAGTAGCTGAAGCTGGCTTTGTCGCCGAATTTGAAATCCATATTATAATTAGTTTCTAACTTGTATCTTAAGTTGAAGTTAAAATACTATATGGGAAACTTCATTTTTTGATTTTAAATGCATGCCAGTAATTCAGTCTGTAATGTTTTGATTATGGATGTTGCTTTCTTGACACTTAACTGTTGCTGTTTTACGTTGTTTAGACGTGCTCAAGAACGGCCGCCACCACATCCTCACAGAATGCATCCCAATTATGGTCATGGACATCACATTCATGTGCCTCAGACAATGTCTTCCCTTCCTCGACAAGTTCCAGAGAGAACTGCCTGGTCAGTAATCAGATACTATTTTAGTTCTTTGAGACTCAAGCCATAACATGCTGATCACAATGATGATAATGCTGGCTGTGATTTTTTTAAAAAGTGCAGCATGCACCTGTGGTTTAAAATTTGTAGATGTTGATATGGCTTTGAAATATTGCTTTGAATGCTCAATATCTTAAATAAATTTCTAGGGGGGGTTATCCATTGCTTTTAAAATGGTATTGAGCATTACTGGCTCTAGGTAGTTGTTTCAAGAAGTTATTTTAAAATAGGCAAGTAAAACATTGCTCAAGACTATTCTTACATTTATGTTCTTTGTAAAACGGGTTTGGATTTGAGTTACAAACTAATTTATGGTCTCTCCTCTTTGTCTGGACTTACTTAAAATTGCTTCAGGCCTGCACATGAAGGTTACATTTAAGTTTCGCAATATATTTATTACTAAAAATACTTTTGACCGTTAGGGAACAGGTGCATGTGTGATAGCTGCTGTTCCTACAGCGTGAGCTACAGAGAAGACTTCACACTGATAATACTCCTGGATGCAATAAATGTGGAGTTGTCTCTGATTTATCATACTAAAATCTTCACAGCTGATTTTAAAACAACTTTTAGTTATGGTAGGATTAAGATGATTCTTTAGCAAAGTCTAAGTTTTAAAACAATTCTTAGGTGAAACTGTGATGGTAGCTATGCTGTGTTGTGTGCTTTCTTAAAGCAATGTGATTGTATCTAGGAGTCAAGATGTACCTTTACTGTAATGTCATTTTCATTCATGTGACAGGGAGCTGGGAATTGAAGCTGGTGTGGCTGCAGCTACTTTCCCTCACTTGGCCCACTTCCATGCACCTCCTCGACTTCATCACCTGCAAATAGGGGCTCTTCCTCTAATGGTAAGGAGATAGCTTATGAAGAATGAAGATCATTGGTCATTATAATTATTTTGTTTGTCTGGAAAATTATTTTAAGATTTACTGCATTCAATTGGACATGTATATATTGCTGAAAAAGTTAGTGGTTCAACTGAAAAAGAAAATACTACAGTGCGGTTTTTTTTTGTTACTCCAGATAGGGAGCTAGAACAGACTCTTGTCTAATAAGAGAGAGCAGTTTAGGACACTAACATTTCTAACTTCAGCTCTTGTACAATGAAACATCCTTGAATTAAATTGTCACTTGCCTTGAAATACATTGACCCTCTGCATCTGATTTTTAAAGTTCAGATTCTTCTTTCATGAGTTTTGGATTGTTAAAGATACCAACTTTCCACCCAGTGCATGAGGATTAGCACTGGTGCTTTATTTTTTAAGGTGTGTATACAGCCCAGCTAGAATTCCATCTAGAGATTTGGTTCTTCATGAACCTAATTCTGTGTGGTAAAGTATATAATTTTGTAGCATGGAGTGTTATAAGCAAGAGGAAGTATGAGGGTAATCTAGGCCCTTGTTACACATAACTTTTTTTTTAATCTACAATAGAAAACCAAGGAAATTTGGCACCTCCCCTGTGAGGACAGGCTGAGAGAGTTGGGATTGTTCAGCCTGGAGAAGAGAAGGCTCCAGGGAGACCTTAGAGCAGCTTCCAGTGCTGAAAGGGGGCTACAGGAGAGATGGGGAGGCACTCTTGACCAGGGGATGTAGTGACAGGACAAGGGTAACAGTTATAAACTGGAAGAGGGTAGATTTAGATTAAACATTAGGAAGAAATTTTTTTCTGTGAGGGTGGTGAGGCAGTGGCCCAGGTTGCCCAGAGAAGCTGTGGATGCCCCACCCCTGGAGGGGTTCAAGGCCAGGCTGGATGAGGCTTTGAGCAACCTGGGCTAGTGGGAGGTGTCCCTGCCCATGGCAGGGGGTTGGAACTCGATGATCTTTAAGGTCCCTTCCAACCCAAACCGATCTATGATTCTATGACTCTAAGTATATACCAGCCATACTTCTGACTAGCCAAACCATACTTACGGCTGTAATGCATATCCAGGCAGAATTCCTTTGCTTCAGGAAAGAAAAGGCATCCTAGTTTCTAGTGAAATCTGGAAGGGGAGAAGTGCAAAAAGAAATCTCCAGAAGATGTTTCTAAAGTTGGCCTGAGGCCATCCTGAAATGGCCACCTTCTCCGTACTGCTGGCTCTCCTGTGTCTCATGTTTTCCAGATGTTACCTATTTACGTGAATGACCAGAATGCTATGTTTAGCATAAAATGGGTTACATTTTGAAATTGCAAAGATGAGAATATTTCTAACATATTTTCATGCTTTAAAAAAAAATTAGAAAAATTGAGAATAATGTGTTATTTGTTATAATGTTTCAAAAGCCTGCAGACATTCATTTCGAAATTGTAATTTAGTTTAGCTTTGAAAAAGGAACTTGCTCTGAATATGAGTTTGTTACTAGGACATTTGAAAAAAAAATCAGTGCTTTATATTTTAAATCTGTTCTCTTAAAGAGTTATTTTTATCAGTTTTTTTGTTGTTTAATGGGGGGGAGGGTCTGGAAGGTTAAAACTAGAAGGTCTTGTTTCTCCCCTCTTCCATCTTCTCCTTTTCATAATCAAACAGAAACAAAATCTCTTCGGCTCTAAACTGATAACTAAATTTTAAATGGAATATGTACCTGAAGTGAGCAGTATTCCCTATGTGCCTTTTAACTTAGTATATTTTTACTTTTGATTACATGAATAACTAACTACAACTGGTCTGGGATTTTAACTATTTAAAACTTAAGCAACAAACCTGCCACTGAGAGTATTCTATTCAGCTTGTTTTTAAAACATGCAAAGCTGTCATAGATTCAATTTTCAGATTGTATTATGCGTAGCAGTGGGATTTGGTGGTGGGCGGTTTGTTGGTTTTTTTGTTTGTTTGTTGTTTGTCTTTATTTTTAGTCTCTGTTTTATAAAACATATCTTAAGTCATGGAGGCTATCATGCCTCTCCAATTGTTTCAGCTACCTGTTAATCAAAGAAGTTCCAGGGATATCCTGTTCCAGTCTCTTGACTCCAGCTTCTTTGGCTTTTTTTGAGTAGTGTCCTGTTGATTGTGAATTTTAGGGGGGGGAAGTTATCTGGACTTTAAGTTTCCTAGCTATGGTGTAATAAATCTCCGTAGGGTTGATGCAAGCCTTGCGAAGACTCCTTAATTTATCTGTGAACCTAGAGTGCAGCTTGCCAGTCAGAAGGAGGTCTCTGGATCATAATTTAAAAAAAAAAATAGTTACTAAAGGTAACTTAACCTCTTGCAGTTGTTACACACCTAGCTCTCATATGCTGTCCCCCCTTTTTCTTCTATTTCAGAGCCTTACTGTTTTGTTCCTTGAACTGTTGAATGACTCAGATTGGTTGAGGTTGATTTACACTTATTTGTAAAAATTGTGCAGGATTAGGAAGTATAGGCCAGTAGGTCCCCATACATTATGGTAGATGTGTGCTGGTCAGAATAATATCACTGGAGTGTAGTCATACAGGTATCACAGCTCTAAGAGATGCAACTGTTCCGTATAAAAAAAGCTAACGAATTTCCTGTAAAATATCTGAACGCTTAGCTTAAGGCTGTAACTCAATGTAGGTATAGTACTTCAAACATTAGGTTTGAAATAGCCTTGATTAGCTGCATCAAATTTAACTGCATTTTACAAGTAAGAAAATGGACTTTTGTAATGCAGCTGCTACTTTTTGTTAGTATAAACATGAATTACTGTTCTTCAGGTTTTTTGTAGAATATAGGCTGCTGAAGAGCGCTCATTTTATGTACCCCTCAGACACAGATACAGTTGGGTTTTAGCAGTGCAGCACACATTACTTGTTCCTTTGCAGTGTCTCTCTGTGAAGACTGCAGCTTTTCCTTTTTTGAATTTGGCTTAGTAAGGTGTTAATTGATCAGCTTTATTCCTTTTTGAGTATTGATGGGCACCTAAGCAGTTAACTGGATAAGCTTAGTGTTGGAATTTAATATGTATGAAGATCATACTTCATGTGAACCACTGAATAAAAGGTTGAGATGGACGAGATAAGTAGTACCATACAACGGAAGAATCTCTTCACTGCCTGTGGTAACTGAAAGCCAAAAAGATCCTAGAAAGATGGAAGGTGTTTAAAGGAAGGCAGCAAGGAAGAAAATCTTTCCTGCAGGTTAGCTGTTTCAAACTGTTTCAGAATGTTTGTGTTGTAAATGGTTCAGACTTAGCATTGAATTTTTTATTTGCTGCAAATTTTAGTGTACTGGGAAGTGTCAATAGAAAATGCAAAACGAGAAACAGATGATACTTGTTCCGCAGAAAACAATCAGTTCTTGGCAAACTTCTACTGGAATTTGCAGGTCCAGAGTATATTGCTTTAAAGAATATATTATAATTTGGCTGTATTCAAAAGGCTATATACAAGCCCATAGTGCAGACTGGCATTACCTTTAACTCTTTACTTTCTTCATTAGCTTTAAGCTTTTCCTTTTTTCTTATGTTCAATATGAAAACTTGACTGAAAACACGCTTCTGTTTGTGTACGAAGCTGTTTCAAGAGAGTTGAGATCCTCTCTGCATTTGAAGCTTGATGGTAACTGCCAAAGGGATTTTAGATAGACTGTTCTTTGTTGGGCATTATTGATAGTTATCTTTTTCCCATCTTTCCTCCAGCTTGTAGTCACTAATGTCATTAGTTAAAATCCTGCTATGTTAGCAGACTGCTTATTCTGCAGGCATGAAAGAGCTTTTTTCTTCTTACAGATATGTTTTTTCAATATATAGTGTTTTAGTTGGCCAGAAAGGTAAGCTGCAGTCTCACAGTATTTTATACGAGAGCCTTTACCTGATGTATGTTCAGATAATTTTGCAGACGTGTTATGCCATTCCCCATCATGAGAATATGAGGGGCCCATTTATTAGCATTAAAATGTATTATCCCACCCAATATTTCTGTTGTCTACGTTCAGTAGTTTGTTGTGGTATGTACTCTGAGAAATTCTTGGTTGGTTTTGTAGTATTAAAATTAAATCTAGTATGTTTCTTAAATAGATAGTCTCCAGTAGTAGAATTTGTTCCAAATGGGAGACCTGTCCAGGTGCATGTCACTGCAGTTGGAGCTGTAAATATTGCATTACAGCAATACCCCTGGGACTTTACAGCTCCTGTCATGATGCACTGTCTGCGCTAGCAGATGCATTGCTTTCCAACAGACTGTTTTCAAATCCTGGTGAATCAGTGAAAGTCACTCCTGAGCCTTGGGTTAGGTTTTGTCAGGAGTTTCTTTTCCTCTGAGTGGCGAGAATTGATTCACAATGTAGGAACAGGCAACGGAAACTTTCAAATGATGCCAAACAGGTCTGTGACTAGTAAAAATCTGGGACAACAAATTTGTTCACAGTGTGGATGAGTGACCTAGTTCTTTAAAGGCATTTTCTGTAATTGGAAGATGAACTAGAATTACACGCTTAAATGGAGAATGGATTATAAACCACTGATTATCTGAGACAGATTTTTTTACGATGTAGTTTTTACAAATTATTGTATTTTAATGCACTCTCCTGAATTCTGTTGTTACAGCCACGGTTTATACTGGTAAACAGTAAGACCTGTGACACCAACAGATGTTACTTAAATGTTTAGGTATGCAGATGAATATACCTTTCTCATGATACAAGTCTGTATTTGCAGTCATACTGGATTTGTGTATTAGTACGTAATCTCTCTAACTACACTCTGCATATTGCGTAACAACTTAGGTCCTTGAATTGATACGCTGTTGGAGTTGGCAGCAGTCCTCCTGTCCTTGTTTCCTCTCTCCAGCTCTAGCTAGTACCAGACCAGCAGATAGTTAGGCTGCTTATGAGAGAGGCACCTCATGTATTAGGATTCTAGAAATGTTCTGAAAGTTACATCTTCAGTTTGTAAAAATCTGATACTAATATTGTGGCTGTATTTGTGGCTGATATTGGCACGACATGGCCATCATTTAACAAGCACCATGTAAACTGCTTTAAAATAACAAGATTCTGGTTTTCTTTCCCGAAAAAAGATATTTAGGACAGAGAAATATTTTCTATCCCTGTCAGCTTTTAGTTACCAGACTGAATTTGAAAAATATAGAAAGGTAGCTTCTTGGTCTGTTACATTATGTGAGTGACTTTGTCCAGGCCTGTGCTTTCTCACAACGCAGTAATGCAGTTCTACACCTTTATATACATTAAACTTAGCGGTGTCTGCTGGAAAGAAGAAAAGCCACACACGAACACCTGACTTCATGAGTAACATCTGGGATGGGGTATCTCCCTTGTTGACAGCCTCATGAGATAAGTTTTGAGCTGTCAGGCAGAGCAGCAGAGATGTTACCAGCGGGTAGCACAGAAAGGCAGACAGCGCTTCTCCAGTACTTAATGTGACTTCCGAATGAACTGCTGCTGACCGTCCTCATATCAGTGCACTCTACATTATTAAGCAGACTGAATCTACTGATCATTTGGGGGTTTTTTCACCTGTTCATTTAATCACACACTGCTGTTTTGTTCACTGCTTGTATTTCTTAATATGCAAGGAAGTGAGTGGATGCTTGAATATAGAGTGTATGTAGAGTTGCCTGTGAGTTTAGATGTGAGTTTTGAGTATTACTTTTTTTTTTTTAATCCGCCTCTAAATTTGAAGTGTGTCTGAAGATGTTCAGTTGTTTCCAGTAAGATAAGGATGTTGGCTGTTTTTTCTAGACTATTAACTTCGTTTCCTCTGTGGTACCAAAAACCTATATTTGAGTATCTACATCAAGTCCTTTTCCTAAATTCATGTGTAGCTTTTAGGCATTTTGTTCATAAAAGTAGGTAGATATTTATGGTGGTTTATACAAAGTAGGTTGAGATTTTGAGACTTGGGAAGCAAGACCAAGCGATATGTAATGCAGACGTGGAGAGATTAAAATAGAGGATCTAGTCTCACTTCTGTTTTGCTTCTGGTTATGTTTAGAGAGCTCAGCATGGTGGTGTGTTACACTGTCAGCTGGAATTGTGTGCTTAAGCTGAGAAGTTTCAATAATAAGTGATTCAATAAAAGCAAAAGGATCTTAGTAAAATACCAAAACTGTTCTGAATAGGTTTAACTGAACATCTGCTGTTTGAATAGGTACCAGACATGGCGGGCTACCCTCACATCCGTTACATTTCATCGGGATTGGATGGAACAGCATTCAGAGGCCCTTTCAGGGGCAATTTTGAGGTTTGTAATAGAATAAAACTAGATATGTGTCAAAATGTGTCATGAGGGAATACGGGGAGGGTATATGGTAGAGCTAGTTATATAGAGAGATTTAAAAGAATCATAAAATCGTATTTATAGAATGACCTCACTATTGTGAACTGGGATAAAAGCATATTGAAAAGTCAGTCAGGAAAGGTGCCCTGGACAATGCAGGCGTAGGTGGTTATTAACTGACAGTACATCTTGCTCTGCCCCCCACCCCAGTTAGCAGAATGTAGTATTGATATGACATGTTGGTAAAACATAGTGGTGTCTCCAAATAACTGTGCCAGGATCCTCCTCATGAGGGTGAAACTTGGCAACTTTAACAATGCTGTCCTGGTTGTTATGTAGTGCAGGAATAGAAACTGAGAGAAGGAAAAGAAAAAAGAAGAAGAAAAAAGGAGAAAATTAAAGGTATCAGATGCAGAGAGTTAATGACAAGTCCACTGAAAACATCTTCAGTGACATTTCATGGTTCTAATGAACTTATTGGTGGAGAAAAATAAATCAGATGTTGTATTTCAACTTAAGCAACATTTTTTTTAAGCCTTTATGACTGTTAGAAAGCAAATATTTACGTAGTGCATTTTAATAGCATTTTCCTCATTAGACACACAAGTACATGTGAACATACTGATAACCATTCCTAGCTGACAAACAATTTCTAATTATTTTTAGTAGTAAAATAATGTTTCCCTATAACTTAAAATACCAGGCAGTGTTGTGTGGGTTTTTCTACAGAAAGCCAACGCTTTCCCCACACAACATACTCTTCTTTTGTTTTGCCTGTATTTGAATAAATGGGAATTGAGAGTTTGTAATTCTGCAAATGGGTTAGAATAAAATTAATGTTTAATCAAGATAGTTAAAATTATAGTTCTTACACTGTTTATTCCTTGATAATTTTTTAGGAACTGATTCACTTGGAGGAACGATTAGGAAACATTAACCGTGGAGCAACACAGGGAACTATAGAAAGATGCACATACCCACATAAATACAAAAAGGTGAGGAGTTCTTAAATTGTGGCCTTTCTTTAATATTTATTTGAAAATGTAATAATGCTTATGTTTAGCTTAAATCTGCAGAAATCTCAGCTTCAAAGAGTGCATGTTTTCTGTATCTTGCAATGTCAAGGATTGGAAGCAAAGCTTACAATGTTACTTCTTTCACAAAGAAAATTAAAAATTTATTCCCTAGATAAAGAGCTAAACAAAAGTGTTTTGATAGGATTTAATAGCTTGTCCAGCAGTTACGAATAGCCTTGTGAAGAAGGAAATAACTATTGGTAAGAGCTGAATTGTCAATAGACTTCAGCGATAACTCATCCAGTAAGACTTCGTTTGGGCAACAAATTGTTGACAGTGCTTGCCTGCATGATTATGTATCATTTTAACCTTTACTCTGATCACATTAGGAAGACTGTGGGACATAAGGAAGTTTTGAATTTGGTAGAGAATTTTGGCAACGTAAGTTGTCTCTCAATTGGAGTTCAGTATATCATAATATAGAATCCCATCCACATTTACATGGTGTTCTTTCACACTTGATAAATAGTGATTTAAGATACTAGGTTTGAAAGGAATTTTTTTTTCTCTTTATGAATGAAATGAAGATATTTATACATAGACAACAAATAAAAGGACTGCTTGCAACAACATGAAATTAATATATTCCTAGTCCTGTAGACTTTTGTAATTAACAATAGGTAAATAAATCTGAAATGTCCTGTGATTTTGCTCCAAGTGCTAGTTCTTGATTCATTTTGATTCAGATACGTTTGAATGAATACTGTGAAATGTTTTCAAAGAAATATGTGTTGAAAATGTATTAAAAACTGATTTTACTCAGTTTGTCAATAATGTCATCTCTACTAATAAGGTAACAACTGATTGGTTCTCACAGAGGAAACTGCACTGCAAGCACAATGGGGAGGAACGAACAGAAGAAGACACAGAGGAAAAGTGTACCATCTGTTTGTCTATGTTGGAGGAAGGTGAAGATGTCAGGTAAATAGTACCATTGCATATCAGAATATAATGTGTACGTTCTGGCTTTGACACCATACCTGAATATGGTACGCTACTCTTTGCAATACTCCCTAGCTTAACAGTTACAATTAAGACTATGTGTCATTGAACTAATCAATAAAACAAGTTGCAATTGGAAACACACATCACTCAGTCTGTATTGTCTTCAGGTGGAATGTAGGTTATTTTCTTACAGTCTTCTATAAGTTGACTGTCTTTTAACATGAGCCCAGGCTGATACCCAAATTAATCAGGACTGTCAATTTTCAGTTTTTTGGAATAATGCTGCTTAAGCTATAACACGTTTAAATCAGTGTACCACAGCAGAAGGTAGCTGATGCTTGACTTCATTGCCCATATCCATTTCTTCTGGAACTAGACAAAATGCAGGTTCAACTGGAAAGGCTAGTGAAACTTGTGGAGAAACACACACATGCAAAAAGAATAGACACCTCAAGAGCAAAACACACATTACCATTTTTCCAGTGGGTTTGTTGAGATGGAAATGCTTTATTAACACTCGTGTTTTTCTGTTCTGATTGCAGGCGCCTTCCATGTATGCACCTTTTCCACCAAGTATGTGTAGATCAGTGGTTGATTACTAACAAGAAGTGCCCCATTTGCAGGGTGGACATTGAGGCTCAACTGCCTAGTGAAAGTTGACACCACTTTCCAGAACTCTTGTCCTCCCTCTCACTCCCTCTCATCCTTCCTGGTACTGCAGTCAACCAAAGATGGCATGACTTACCTGCGCAGATTTGGAAACGTTGAACCTAGAGTGCTGGCTCTGCTATATGGTACAACTAATGCTAGACCTACAGTTTATGTAGAAGACAGCTGAGTTTCAGTATATTTATAAAAGTTTTTTAGGTTTTACATTTTGTTGTTCTTTGAATTCATTACTGTATTTTTGCATGGTTCCTTGTGTTGCATTTATTTGCACATGTTATGGGCTTTGTGACCCCAAACTTGCAGGCAAGATTAGCTGCTTTAGTAAGTAGAGTTGTGTGGTCTTTTTTTGTTGTTTTTTCTTGGTTTGTTTTCCATAGTATTGAGCTTTGAGTGTATGATTCCACTCATTACTAACCTCGGATTCCTTAATTTAATCGATCATATATTTTAGTTTAAATGTATAAAGAACATCTAGAAAAGGATAATAATATGTATTGAGACATTCCTTAACTAGGAAAAAATGGCTGCTGTATATTTACAATATCAGTTCTGAGTCAAATAACATCCTTAATACTGGGAACAGAATATGAACTATATTCAGTTTGACTGATACATATAGTGTACTCATCACCAGAGTTTTTGTCTGATCAGACTTTTGTGTTCGTTCTTAAAGTTTCAGCACAATGCAGATATATTTGAATGTCAATATTAAACATTTAGACTGCTGTTCAGATTGTATTTATCATTTTCTTCCTATGTCTAGAAATTTGAATCCCTAACTTAAATATTTGCTGCTGTGAAACAGCTCTAGTGAACACTAAATGTTGATTTCGGTTAGCTGGATTGTAGATACTTGCAGATTGAAAGAATTACTAGGGAAATGGAAAAAGAGCTTAGGAACTGTTTGGTCTTCTGCTAACTTAAGTTGAAGTATCTACGCACATTGAGGGTTTTCTTGTTTGTGTTTTTTTGTTGGTGTTTGTTTTTTCTAATATAAAACCATTCAATAAGAACTTAGAGCTGCAGGGTTTTTGGGTTTTGGTTTTTTCGGTGTTTGGTTTGGGTTGGGGTTTTTTTGGCAGATAGACATGCATTCATAGAACTTCTAAGGATTCCAGGCTTGTCTTGGGATTTTTGTTAGTTTTAAAGTTAATAAAGTTAGCTAAACCCACTTGTCTCCTGTTTTATTTTTCATACGTAAATTGAAAGCCTGTAAATTTCTGTAGAAACTGAGACACAAACTATGTGGTTACCTAGTTTTTGCCTTGATCTTAGATTCCCTCTTTATAAATTACCAACAGTCCATCACTGATTGAAATATTTTCTATAGTTAAGATTTGCTGCATAATATAGTATATAGAATTAAGTTATAACGTACTAACATTTCGCCTTTGGAGGAGACTTTAATCCACATCAGGATTCAAGTTGCTCATCAACATTCTCTCACATATAATGGATTATAGTTTATTTAAATGTGCTCAACATTGCAAAATGCAAATGTGCAAAAACATTTGAGACGGTATTACTGTCACTGTGGAAAATATGTTCCTCGGGAATCATATAGGAACATGTCAATAAGCTTGCATTAAGCCACCTGCTTTGTGAGTGGACTGAATAATAAATACTTTCAGTTTCTCTTGTCTTTGCCTTTCATCATCAGATTAAATGTAAAATGGTTTACAGTAAACCTAGAAGATGCATTGTTATGTTTACACTAAAAAAGTGATCCATTTATAAATATTACCTTATCTAATTTGATGCCTGTTTTTGTCTGGTTAAAGCTGCTTCCCTTTTATATTTCATTTTATTTTATTTTAAATCTGGTAGGATTAGCATTTGCCAGTGCAGTGTCTATTGCTGGCAACAAAGTTAACACCTCTGGCACTGAGGCTTTAAGCAGAGAGAAGTTTTATTCCAGCATGTGTGATAAATGGACATTTTCAAGCTTAATTGCATTGCTAAAACTGAACTTAAAACCACTTTGTGCTTGTACAAGAGAGGCAACACATGATTTGACTGCTTCAAAACATGACATGGTTTTATGCTAAAGCTTCTTGAACATTATGGCTATAAGAAACTGAAAGTGAGTATGAAGTTGAAGCTGCATTGGTAAAAATGAATGAAAGTAACTGGAAGGACTGAATAGACACCTTTAACAAGTTTTTAAAAGTTTCCACGAAGGTACTTGAGAGACATGGAACAAAAGAAAAAAAAAAAGGGGGGGGGGGGGGCCTTTGAAATAATTGAGACCCTGGGTATGGGATAGAATCTATTTTGGCTTCCTTACCGGACAACGAAGCACAGGTTTGGGGGATTATTTTTTTCCTTAGGAAATCTTTTATGCACCTGATTTGGGTGCCTGGTACTAGTTATTTTAGTGGTCCATGAATTGACTTGTTTTATACCTGCTACTGATATTGTCTTGCTTTTAAATGTATGCATAACATTGTAATGTGATGTTGAACACTTACATATTTTCCAGGAATCACAGTGTTCTGATCTTACATGCTATTGCAGGGGCTAACAAAGCTGCAGCCTAATTCTTTTCCTGAAAGTTGTGACTTAACCTTTCAGAGAAGGAAAAAGAATAGGCTTTGATTTTGAGAATTTCCACCTCTTACTGTGCTTTATATGCTTGGATGCATTGCCTTAAGTTTTCTGCAGCATCTTTGAAAATAAGATTCTCAACAGTATGCATCAAATTACTTTTCGTATAAAATTCCGTTGTCAAAAGGATCCTTTTGTATGCAATAAATAAAACATTAGACTGGTATAATTAAAAATCTGTTTCTTATGCAAGTTTTTTATTTCTTTTGCCTTGTTTCGCCTTTGTAAGTCTTGATCTATGAGAATTCTTTTGCGTACATCTATTCCTATAGGTACTGCCTAAGAAAAACATTTCTGGGTGAAGGAGCAGCACGTAGGTACAGTGGACTCTGTTGATAAACAGAGCCATCTGGAACTTGGGAATTCAGGAAAACTGTCCTTACGAAGGACATCAGAATATTAACTTGTGTGTCCGTGAGTAAACACGTACTCCCACTGTCGGGAGCTTGCAGAAGAGCTGTAATCAGGCTTTTCTGTCACTTTAGGCAGCTCCTGGAGCGCTGAACTTCCTGCATCCCAGCACTGGATATTAACTGACTGTCACGGGCTTCTTCCTCGGGGGCTGCCCTGCCTTCCTCCCGTCCTACAGCGAATTTAAAATAACAGCTCTAGCACGCATCCCTGGGGCCTGGTGTCCTGCCGTGGCTGCCCGCTCC